TAGAGGTGGTTTGTGGGAGGCAAATTCCCTCAACTTTTGCTTGTCTGGGAATTGTTTAATCCCTCCTTCATATTTAAAGGATAATCGTGCTGGATACAGTATTCTTGGTTTAAGGCCTTTCTGTTTTATTGCATTAAATATATCATGCCATTCTCTTCTGGCCTGTTAGGTTTCTGTTGAGAAGTCTGATGATAGCCTGATGGGTTTTCCTTTATAGGTGACCTTTTTTCTCTCTCTGGCTGCCTTTAATACTCTATCCTTTTATTTGATCTTTGCCATTTTAATTATTATATGTCTTGGTGTTGTCCTCTTTGGGTCCCTTGTGTTGGGAAATCTGTGGCCCTCCATGGTCTGAGAGACTATTTCCTCCCCCAGTTTGGGGAAGTTTTCAACAATTATTTCTTCAAAGACACTTTCTATCCATTTGTCTGTCTCTTCTTCTTCTGGTACCCCTATAATGTGAATATTGTTCTGTTTGGATTGGTCACACAGTTCTCTTAATATTCTTTCATTCCCAGACATCCTTTTCTCTCTCTGCCTCGGCTTCTCTGTATTCCTGTTCTCTGATTTCTATTCCATTAACAATCTATTGCACCTCATCCAATCTGCTCTTATGTCCTTCCAGAGATTGTTTTATTTATGTATTCTCCCTCTTGACTTGATCCCTTAGCTCTTGCATATTTCTCTGCAGATCCATCAGCATGGTTATGACCTATATTTTGAATTCTTTTTCAGGAATATTTTCTACATCTATTTCCCCAGGCCCTCTCTCGGGGGTTGTCTTGGCAATTCCGGACTTGACCAAATTCTTCTGCCTTTTCATGGTGATAGAGGTAGTTGCAGGCAGGTGGTGGGTGTATCAGCTGGGAGAACAAAGTCCCTTCCTGCTTGCTGGTTGCCTTACCCTTCTCCGCTGCCTGTGTTGGTTACCTGCACATCGGGAGGCGCATCTAGGTTAATCCCCTGAGCTGCTGTGGGTCGGGCAGCCCTCGGGGTAGCCCAGAGCCCTGCAGGGAGAGGCAGGCACACTGGGTGTGCTCTCCTGCGAGAACAGTGCCCCTTTGTGACTTGCCCAGAGCAAGCTTGCTTTTATTGAACACCTGCTTTATATCAGATGTGCATTTTATACTGTATAGTTCTTATCTCATTGAATCCTCATAACAATGCTATAAGCAGTTTTTATTATGCCAGTTTTGAATACTAAGAATCTGAGTGTTCATGAAGGTAAGGAGACACCCCTCACATTGGAAAACCATTGACCCAACTGTACATGAGTCTGGGGCTTGAGTGTACATTATTTGTTTAGGAGTAAAAAACCCAAGAAGGAAATTTTAACTTCAGAAAGAACTAATCTTAGTGCCATAGTCAAATGGCAGAAACTAACGTTAATCCTCCCTGGAAGCATGTACTTTCACACAGGCCTTATAAAACTCTTGGAGAGTAGCCCAAAAATGATGAGCCCACAGTCAAAAATAATAGAATACACAAAGAATAAGCTATCAGAAATGACAGTCAACAGAAACAAAAAAGGAACAGAAATAGATCTAAAAGTACTTCAGATTTTGGGAACATGGAATGCAGAACATTAAGCATCTATCAGTATGAAGAATTATGAAAAAGGAAGGCTAGATATAATACCACAAAGGTGGTATCTCTCATATATATATATTATTTATGAGTATATATATGTATACACACACACACACACACACACACACACACACACATATATATATATGCCCACACACATACACATCTAGCCGGGGAGAGATTGTTCCTTCAAAAGGTAAACAGGTTTCCAAGAGTGATGTTGCTCTATATTTGTAGGTCTCAAAACTGAGCTGGATTGAAAAAAAAATGGCTGCTACTCTGTTTGGAAAAATACCATCCTCAACTATACAAGAAGCTTTACAAAATTTCCTTAAGGTATATTTTGTTTATCCATTATTTTAGAGTCAAACTGGCTATTACCTGCACCACTCCCTCCCACCCTGTTGTCAAGAGAATTTTTCTTTCCTCCATGTACAGATCTCTAACTGAAACTCCAGTTCAAATTCTAGCTTCGACATAACCAAACTACTTCTTAGAGCTGCTAGTTAGACCCTAGGCCCTAGGTGCGGCAGCCCTTACTACCAAATCCCAGCACAGCTCTTGAGGTCTATGAGAATGTGCAAAAGTGTTCATGCCCTGATTATTAGACTTGGGCTCAGATACTCCTGATCAGCCCAATATAGAACCAGTTTCATCTTAAAGAAGACAAGGAGTCAGGAGAGCTTTTCTCCATATCGGTGCAATAGCCACGGGCACCGAGGAGCCTAGAGTGCGGAGGGCTGTGGCTGTGGAACAAATAAGAAGTCTGGCAGGTGGAGGGGAGGAGGAGAAGGAAGCAGCACATACCTTGGATCCCACCCCTAGGAGAGTCTGCAGCCCTCTGCTCCCAACAGGAGGTCATGTCGTTGGACCCAGCCTATAGGACTCGTGTACCTTACTCCGTCCCTCCAAAGAGGGGGCTAGGACTGTGTCTCCAGAGCTATCCAGTATGATCCTGTAAAGATCAAGAGCGCTGGCTTTAGAATCAGATAGTATAAGACCTGAGCCTTGTCCTGTCTGATGACCTGGGTGCATTTCTTTATTTCTCCTCATTGTAAATTCCTTATCTGTAAAGTAAGCATAATAATACCTATTTCCTATGAATTTTGTGAAGATTGCATAAAATACGTGTAATTTTCTTGGCCTGTAGTCTAATACATTAAAGACTTTAACTAAAAATAAATGTTAGCTAGTATTATTTTGCTCTTATAGCAGGTGAAATCTGGTCCTCTCCTCCACAGTCTCAAAGCATCTAGAGAGGTGGTTTTAGACCAGTAATTATCTGTGAATTCCCTGTGGGAATTCTTTCAAAATATAGCATGCTTCCCACCTCTTCCAAAATTCTGGCATGATTTCCTCGGGCAGTGGTTCTCAACGTTGGCTACCCATTGAAATCACTTGGCAAGCTTTCAAAAAGGCCATCGCAGCCCATGACCCAGACAAATTATGCCAGAATCTCTGAATATATTATAGTGTAGTTTATATGCAATATAATGCACCCATTTTAAGTGTACAATTCAATCAAGTTTGACAAATTTATGTACTCATGTAACCACCACATTTCAAGATATAAAACATTTCCATCACCCTAGAGAGTATCTTTGCCCCTTTACTGTCAATTTCCCATACCCTCTGCCCCAGGCAACCACTGATCTGCTTTCTATCACTATAGGTTAGTTTCTCCAATTTTAAAATTTTATAAAAATGGAGTCTTGGTGCTTGTGCTTTTGTGCCTATATGGCTTCTTTTGCTCAATATAATGTTTTGAGATTCATTCAGTTTACTGACTTCACTAGTTCCTTTCTATCTATGGCATGGTTGAGAACCATGGGGCCAGTGGATGGACTGGGTGGTAGATGACAGGTAGGGGCCATGTTGGGGGACAGGCTACCCTGAGCTAACCCACTGTTTACAATCATGTGATTCCTGGATCTCCCTTAGTGGTTTCACCAGCTATACAGCTTTCTTCTGTGTCCTTATGTGATGGAGGGCTGCTGCTTGAAAGCACAAAATATTTTAAAACAAAGTTTATTTATTCAGCAATATTTATTATGTACCTGCCTAGTAAATCAAATATAGGGAATACAGAAATGACCAACATAGCTCCTGCATCCAGGGACAGCCAAGACCAAGTAAACAAGTACACTACTCTTTGCCAGATGTTATGACAAAGAGCGTTCTGAGAGCTTAGCTAGAAAATTCCCCTTCATTAGAACATTCTACTGAGTAACACTACCTTCCTTGTTATTCAGCCAAGGCCAGGCTCAGAATCTGCTCCATTTTAGGAATTCAATGTTGTTAGTAGGCTGTGTTCTTTTGGTCCTTTGGGCTGCTGCTTTTTGTTTTCTTTTTTTTGAACCATAAGAGAAAAAGATATGTCCTTATTTATAATCACTCTGGTTAAACAGTGTCAAGGTGTATATGTAAAATTAAAATGCCAACATTAAAGAAATAAAAGCTGCTCATATGTACATATGTTGGGGCAAATGATCCAAATAAGATTTGGACAGAGTTGAAACAACTACTTGGACATAGAAAAAGGTACAATTGAACCAAGTTCAGTCTAGGTCCATCTTATTAGAATGGCTGAGGAAATGCACTTAGTAAACTCAAAGAGTTGAAAAGGAAATAACTGGACAAGAGAGAAGAAGCAGGAGAGCCAGAGTCCCTCAGCACCACGGCTGGCTCTGCAGGATGTTCCGGGCTCTGGCTAGGACTGAACTTAGTAACATTTCAATCTGTCAGCAGCCGTGCTGCTTCACTAGCAGGTTCTAGGCCAGATCCATACACTGCTCAACCACTCGGTCTTAAAGAGTTACACCCGGTCTGGCTCCCCAACCCAAGAGACTTCTCCTCCTCCTCCCAGAACCCTTCCCTTTTGGATTCTGTAGAAAGTGAATGTCCTTTGCAAAGGACATGCTCTCTTTAGGTGTTGGGGCACTCCTCAGCACCCTAAGTCTTGGATTCCCGTCTATTAGTATCCATCCTTAAGATGTCTGTATCCTTTGAGTCAGCAATTCAGCTCTAGGAATTCCTCCTGCAGACACAGTCACACGTGTAAGAGCATATAGGAGCAGGTATGCTCACTGATGGTTAGTAGAAGTAGTGAAAAATAAGTCTCAATGTCTAGTGAGGAATGCTAATTTAATTACAGTGTATGTGTATTAGAAATACACTCTTAGGAACAATGATATAGACCTGTGTATGCTACTGTGAAAATGTGTCTGTGATATGTTGTGGGGAAAAGCTTTTGGACCAACATGTAGAAAATGGCCCCATTTAAAAAAAAATTTTTTTTAAACCAATTTTGCTTGTTTTGCCCATGCTTGGTAAAAAGTCTGGTAGGATGCATGTCAAACTTGATAGTGGTGATCCCCCCAAGGAATGACTTGAAATTGAGAACAAAATTAGAGAAACTTTCACTTTTTAATTTTCAAAATGCCTCTATTTTTTTATAGCTTTTAATACAAGCATATTATTACAAAAATTTTAAAATATCCTTTTTCTCCTGGGTCCTTCACCCATCCGGGTTGGGGTCCAGGGTCAGATTGGGAGCTTGCTTGCTAGGCCTTTACAGCAGTAAAAGCTGGCTTTGATGGAGGCTCTAAGACTAGTTCTAAGACGAGCTCCCCAGGAGCAATACCATATGCCTGAAAGAATTCTTACTGGCCAAAGATAGAGAAAAGGAACTGGTGCATAGGCGATTAGTAGATGAGGAATAAAGTACTATCATAACAAAGCTTACTAAAGTCTGTAAGTAGGTCAATACTTTAGAGTAATTATTTCAAGAAGCTGTCTTTTCTTTAAAAATGCTTCAGGTACTATTTAACTCATATGGAATGTGTTGAAATCTTAAGAAATCAAATATTAATATAGTGGAAGAGGTTTGCCATGGGAAACCAGTCATGCTCAACTCTTGTTCCCTGAATAGATTGTGAAATGTTTAGGACTTGTCCTGGGGTGAGTGGGTCACCAGTTATTTTTGTTCTTGAAAGGAGAAAAAGGGGGAGTGAAGAAAATGGTTATACAAAGGAATCTCAAAATCATATCTCATTGCTTTGTAAGTTTTATGGCCATAATAATTGTTTCATTTTAACGAATAAACTCAAAAGCTATATTTCCACCCAAAGGATACTTGAACTGATAAAATGATTCAGAAGTGACCCAACCAATGTAAATTATTAAGCCATTTTGGTTAATATTTGATTTATTGCAATATATCCTCTTCACTGATTGTTACTGTTGTTTTACTATTGCCCTGTTATTCTCTGTTCTGTTTTCTCTTATAATCAGGTTGAAGAACTACACCCTGGTTTTTCTATATCCAATTACATGTTTTTGGCCAAGGTAACAAGGACCACTGTTTTATGACCACTTTGAATCCATTACATAAAAATGTGCTTCCCTTTGATATTGATTATTTTTTATTTCTAGTGTTATGTCAATCTTGAGCAAATCAATGATGCTGAGAAGTTCTGTAATCTGGCAGTGTTGCTTCCATGTGTAACCAAAGAGGTAAGTCCAAACAGTGACCATGAGTGCTGTCATTTTGTCAGCACTGTTCCAGCTTCAGGTGTGAACAACTGGCTTAGATACACGGGAGTTTCCTTTTATGCTAAAACATTTTGGATTTCATATGTGCTATGAATGTTTAACACTGCTGTAGGTAACCCTTCACCAGAAGACCCCTGTATCTTTAAGGGGCAAGGAAATCATGGGCTTGCAATTAAAACATTCTGATGCTTCTTAGGTATCAGACAGCAGGGACAGGGATAAGCCCCCCTAGGAAGGACGGAGGACAGCATAATTTTGGGGAACTGGTGATGAAACTATGATAGGCTTGCAAACAAGGTGGACAGGCTGCCCACCTCGGAGCAAAACGAGTGTCCATGGGATGACTGACTACCAGCAGTCCCCAGCTACAGCAGGCTGTGGCCGTTTGAGGCCAGGAAGAAGATTTAAAATTTTTATCAACATTTTCTTGGTCTTTGAACACATGCCATTAATGGAAAAGAATCTAATTTATTCACTAATTCAGGATTCTGGATGAGCTCTAAGTTTTAGGAATTTCACAGTTGACAGCTCAGTCTGTGTTCCTGTGAGCCATTTACTGGTATTGTGGGAACAAAAGGAAATAGGTGAATGATTTCCTGCTGCCCTCTCATTCCACCAAGCATACCATCCTCTGAATCACAACTGAAAAGAAATGCCTCACAAATAAACTCTCTTTCCTGTTGGACCAGGACAGGCTCAGACGTTTGTTGTGATCTGGAATATAAACATGCTCTTTCCAGGAGCTTATAGCCTGGAAGGGGGCATAAGGTTTAAAGCCAGATAACTATAGTTCAGGTAGAAAGCCTGAAGCACTAAGAGAGATACAAATAATTGGTTGTGGAAATATTGTAAAGGGAGAGATTATTTTCATCTGGAGGAGATCATGTAGCATCAGAGGTGGACTTTGAAAGATGCATCTAATCTAGAGATGTAGGCAAAGCACATCACAGGTCAGGAACAGAGGCACGGGGGTGGAAAAGCAAAGATTTGTTTACCTGAAGGGGAAGAAATATTGAGGGCAGTCATGGGAAGTAAGGCTGAAAGGAGAAAGGGAGATAAAACCTACGGGACAGTCAGGGAGCAAGGGTGCTGGGTCTTTGAACAGGCCCTCCAGGCTCCACCAGGCCTCTTCCTGCGCACTTCCCAGCCTGCTCATCTGCGTCTTCTGGAAGGCTGGGATTTTCCACACGGTTTATTGTCCTTGTTAGTCAATCCCTCAATTGGTTCTAATGGTTAATGGTGCAAAACAACAGAGTCTCAGTAGCGGCATTCCTTCTTCAGAAACTTGTAACTTTTTTCAGCAGGAAACTGATTTTGTCATCCCTGGTTGCTAGCTCTGTGTTGGTCATTGGGACTCTCCTGTCTTTTATGACTCTCCTGAATAATGTCAGTTTGGGTTATGTGCAGTCATTTTAAACTGAACATCTGTGCGTTCTTACTAGAATGTGAGACTCCAATACAGTATGATGATGAGGTGTGCTACCTGGGGTGAATGCAAATGTTTATGTGTGAATTTAGAGCTCTCACGGGAGGGCTAAACATGGGAGATCCTCAAGGTTTGGTCCTTGGTCCCTAATCTCTTGTCTCCTTTCCCCTTTCCTCCTCCCTGCCTGTACAAACCTATTGTCCATGGCTTCAAGTGCTATCTGCCTGCCAGGGGTCCTCAAAGTTACCTCTCTAGACCGTTCTTCTGAGCTCTAGACTTGATTATCCAGCTTCCGGCTTGACCTCTCCATTGAGATTCCATGCAGACACCTCAAACTTAACGCGTCATCAGGCCTTTGGATTTGCTCTTTGCCATCTTCCCCTCTTAGTAAATGACTTTTCCATCCACCTAATTAGGAAATCTTGGAATCATCTCTGACACTTGCTTCTCCTCAGCCTTCCAACCTGGACAACCACCCAGTCACCAACTTTTTGGAATTCCTCTTCTGAAACATGCCTTGAGCCCAACTGCTCTCTCTCTCCCTGTTGCCACCTCTCTGAGCAGGGCACCACGGTTCCACCTGAACCAGGACTGTGCCGGCGTCCCAAATGGTCTCCTCACAGCTTCTTGCCTCCCTCCCTGTCATTCATGGCTCTCAGTAGCAGCCAAAGCAACAGTTAAACATAAACCCTAACATGTCACTCCCTGTTTTAAAACCCCTTGCTTTTAGGATAAAGTTCAACATTTTTAGCATATCCTTCATGAGTCTGATCTAGCTCCGACCAATCTCTCAAGCTTCATTTGTTCCCTCTTTTTGAAACACTCCCACCAAACCTGCCGCTCCCTCCACCAGTTTTATTTCTTCTCACCCTTCAAGCCTCACTGTAAGTGTCATTTCTTTGGGAAAGACTTCCTCGACACCCTCAAGCAAGAAAATACCTCATACTGTTCCTTCAGGTCACTTAGCACAGCTGTGATTGTCTCATTTGTGTAACTGGTCCACCACACAATGAAAACGGGGCAACGAGGTGTGTCTCATTCGGCACTCTTTGCCCTGCCCAGTGCCAGGTAGAGTGCCTGCCTTACAATAAGCACTCAGTCAGTATTGGTAGGAAGAATCAGAAAACTAATACCATACAAATAAAAATAATAGTTCTAATAGTACTAATAAACAGGACCGGAAATAATTGTAACTAAGGAAGCTGGATACTGTGGAAATAGTTATGTAATAATGTACTAAATGGCATCAGAAAATATTTCCCACATTCCTTTTCTTTTTTCAGGGATGTTTCCATTTGTATTTCTAGGAAGTTTCCTTTTATCTTTTTTTGTTAATAGTGAACATACTATCAAAAATATCTCAATTTCTTTTTCAATTAGAAAGTAGAGTCAGGCAAGTTATCTCTAGTACCCCCTATCTCTATCAAGTTTTTCCAGATTGAAATATGCCCAGTTAGTGATTTTTCTGACCAGCTTATTCATTTCCAAAATGTCTGGCAGTGCCACTAATTACAAGAAATCACACACTAATCACAACCCAGCCATCACTTTTCTCTCCCGCATGTGAACTCGCATGATACCTTTGCCTCTTTCTTGTAGCACCCATAACTGCTTCCTTGCATCGTGTTTGTGTTATTTGTGACATGTCTTCTGTCTCTTTCAGGGAATCGTAAGCTTGCTACACTGCACTTGATATTAGGAACGTTAGTCCTTGGGCTCTGGAGTCTAGATTCTTGCATAGAAGCAGCTTTACATTCCCAGAATTTGAAACTACAGACTTTATTATTCATGTGGACGTTTCTTGATCTTAAGAGGGTAATCTCAGGTCCTGGAAAACATTCCTTTTTTTTTAATAAAAAGGATTCCTGTGTCTAAGGCAACATGAGAATGATTGCTGATGAAATGATGACTCCCCAGGCAGCCACAAAGTTGTTCGCCTGGAGGAAGTATTCACATTTTTGACAGAGTGTACTGAGAAAGCTCAAATGCAAAAAGCATTACAAGGTATTTTTGTCGTATGATGAGGGATGTGCTAATCTGGGTAAAAGAAGAAACTGTTTTAAAATTGTTGTAATATTTTGAAGTGACATTAATTGCTCTTCTGAGCCAAAACTCTTAGAGGATAGTAAAAACAGTGTAGCAGAAACAACCTGAGGGAGAAGAGGACTTTGGGAGTGCTGGGAGGAAGGAATACTTCTTCATAATTACAGGGGTATAGTTGTCTTTGAAGTTGCCTATTGTTTAAAATCCTGGACTGCATTTCCAACCTGTATAGATTGAGAATCATCTCTTCCATTAGTAATCACTCTTAGTTATATAATCCTAATCCCACTTTAAGTGTTCTATCTTAAATAAAGTTGGTGTTTGATGATCATTACTCAAATGCTAGAAGCATAACAATTTAATATAAACAAGTCTCTCTCTTATGTATACAAAGTCTTTAGCAGATAGTGTATTTTCCCAAATATATATTCTAACATTTTCAGGTCAAAACAAATTTTTGTTTTTGGATGCGTGTGTCTGAGTGAGTGAAAAATATTTATTCATTTATATTACAAATATGGGGTCCTCTGTTAGAGGCTTGGAATACAATGAGAAAAAAATCCTATTTTTGCTGCTATGAATTCTGTGTTCTAGCAGAAAAGGCAGGCACTGAATAAGTCACTCTTTGCACAATTCAAAAAATTAATAAGGCCTAAAGTTAATATACTTTTACACAGTTAATATATTTTTTACTAATAGCAGTCAAGTGTGATGAATGTTACAGAAATGAAATTCATGAGAAAATGTAACTGGGTCTGCAACCTGCACCAGAAGTTAAGCATGTCATTCCTGAGGCTTTAATATTTAACATGAAATTCTAAGGAAATTAGAATTTAAACCTGGTGGTTTAAATCTTTTAAGACTTGCTTGGTTGTGGGGGTCTTGTTAAAAATACAGATTCCTGGCCCTTCTATGGAGAGAGAAAGAAGCTCTGAGCTGCAGAGGGGATGACACCTCATGATCAATGTGATCTCACTCAGGTGTCCACCTACTGGGGTTCTGCTCTCCGAGCATCGGGCTCAGACAGTCCCTGGGTGAGAGGACAGAAGAAGACAGCTGGTGGCTGAGCTCTTGGTGATGCAAGCCAGGAAATGATGAGCCTTGAGGCCAGGGCTGTGGACTTCACTCAGGAAGAGTGGACCTGCTGGATCCATCTCAGAAGAAGGAATGTGAGCTCTAAAAAATCATACCTGACTTCCCAGTTGGTATAGGGGAAAAGCTGTCCGAGGAAGGAAGAGGATTTCTCCAAGGCCAGAGGCCAGGCAGGAAATTCTTAAAAACCAAGAGGTAACTTCCATGCAGAATATCTACAGGGAGAGCCATCCAGTGTCTTAGTAAGGTTCTGGAGTGTGAGCCCTGCTGCTCCCCATTAGACTTGGCCCGGGAGTGGGAGAAGTTCGGAGTTCAGCACAATCACGTGACTTCAGTCTGAGGCGAGAGAAAGTGTGTTGTCTCAGCAGGTTTGGATGTCTTGAATCTGGGGACAAAAAGGACTCACCTGAGCTCAAAACCATAATCTGAGTTCTTATACAAGGAAATTTACAAATATGATCAGTATAACAAGTCTTTAAAACATAATGAAAATCTCAAAATTAATCAAATACTATGCTATTGACATGCTGCAAAGAAAGAGACGTCCGTGCATGCAAGAAAACAGCAGTCCAACGAATGTAAAGAATGAGGCAATGATGTTAGCTGGACATCATCCCCGAATGATCAGCATAGAATTCGTATGTAGAAAAATGAACAGATGAGTGAGTGGGTGTGAGAAAACCTTTAACAGCCTCTCATCTCAGGAGCAGAGATTTCATGCTGGAAAGGAGCTCTATAAATGAAAATGGGGAAATACTCACTCACAGCTCAACATTAACTAGAGAGAAACCCAACAATTGTAACAAATATGGGAAGCATCTTAACCTGAGAGCTAACTTTTGTTCATACCAGAGAATTCACACAGGAAAAACCCTTTGTCTATAATCAGTGTGTAAATGCTCCAGTAACAATTCATCCTTTAAACATGAGTGAATTCACACTGCAGAGAAATCATATAAAAGTCATCTGTGTGATAAAGCCTTTAGTCAGTGTTCTAACCTTAGCTGTTGTGAGACAATATACATTGGCAAGTCTTCAACCTCAGCTCTAACCTTCATGGGCAGCAGAGAGTTCACGCTCAAAGCCTTGGTGTGCACAGAACACTGAGTATAACAGGAAGGAAAGCAGCAAGTCTTTACTAAGAGGAAGCCATTTGGAAAATACCAGATAATTCACATTGGAGAAGCAATTCAGTGAAATAAACATGGGAAACCCTTTATTCATAGAGCAACATTCCAGGACATGTGAGAATTCTCACTGTATAAAAAACTCCAGGTATCATGAATAAATGAAAGAAAGACACATACCTTAGTCAACCTTCACGTTCTCATCCTGGGTAGTTCCTCCATCCTCAAGTCAATGTAGAAATACCTCTACCAGGAATTTATATAAGAAAACTTATACTGGGGAGTGAGGGGGAACCTTATCAAGAACCCTTTAGAACAAAATTACAATTCAACATAATTTAGGCTTTTGCCATATGACATATTACTGAAAATAATAAAATATAAAGATGTCAAACTATGATGCATTCTTGGAAACACTGAATGCAGAATTTAGTAAGATGTAAGATGTAATAAGATCACCCTTCTTCAGCAGACTAATGCAAGTTGTTGATGAAAAATCTAATACATTGGTATTTGTCTTCTAAAAATTATGAAACCTTATGCTGAATATTTGGGGGCATTTATTACCACTCTTTCTAACTTCCCCACTTATTTTAAAGAAATAACAATACAGGTGGAGTCCTGTAAAACACATTACATGATTTTTACTCTTAAATATAAACTAACTGATAAAGTCAATACTAAAACGTGTTTTTGTTTGTCTGGATCTTGGGATGGAATCTCAGATATCTTCAAAACCTGCTGCCAGGGCTAGAACTTCTTCCACATCTTACAGTTGAGGAAAGAAACAGTGTTATCATTAATATGCTGGTGGGTTCCAATGTGTCAGCCTCCATGGAAGGCTCACCCCTTCCTGTATCCCACCACTCCAGACCTAATGGAGGAAGAACCTGGAAATAGCTCTGTACTTTATACACATTCTCGGAGATCTAAATCATGCATGGCCCTAGGAAATCTAGTTTCTTTGTAATAGTCTTTCAAAAAATATCTTACTCAACAAAAGTCTATTTCAAAGTACCTAGAGTATCAAGATGAATGTGTGAAATTTCATTGTGTATTTGTATTTTCTTTGTAGGACAAAGATGCACAGAAAGAAGCGAAAAAAATAAGTACTTCCTTGAAAAGATAAATAAAAGAACTTACTCTTCAACAAATCAGATGTGGTCTATCTACTAAGATTTAAACTTAAACTAATCAAAGCTGTGCTTTTTATTTTGTTTTCTTTTTGATGTAAGGGTAATGTGCTCAGATTTGAAGGTAAAACCATGTTTCTGCAGAATGCATTCCACTTGTAGCACTAGAGAACTAACTTTGTTACTTGGAGAAATCTATTCCCTATAATGTCAGTACAAAATGATCTTTAAACATGTATGCTTTATATTTTTCCTATCAATAAACTATAGTCCTCAGAATATTTCTTCAAATAAAATATTTAAATCAATCCAATAAATGAACTCTAGTGAATGTTTTATTGTTGCTTCAGTGGAAACTTTACAAAACAAAATAATTTCATTAATGCGGATGAAAAGTGGAAAAAACAGGCAAAGATCATGAACAAGTTGTTGATAGAAGAAGAAAAACAAGAGGATATATATTGTAACTAGTAATGAGAGGGATGTGAATAAAATTATAATTAAGATACTGTTGGTGAAATGTATCCAGAGCCTTAAAAATGTATTAATTCTTCAATCTTGTAATTTATTTCACAGAAATAATCCTAAAGAGAAAAAGTCCCCTATTGATATACAAATGTTCCTAACAGCATTATTTATTGTAACAAAACACTATGCCCAACAATAAGAATGCAGTTAACAATATTAGAATATAACTATGATAGAATATTATTTCAATATTAAGAAAATTACAAAAAATGTACGGGAATGCACAAAGAATGTTAAGTGCAAGTATAAGACAAAATAGTATATACATATGATCTCAACTATATGATATTGTGACAGAAAAGCACTTACTGAAAATACACTAAACTGGTAGTAATTCATATTTCTGTAGAGCTGTGTTTTATTTCTTACATTTCTCAATTCTTAATAATTAACAATTTTTAAAATTGCACTAGCTAACAGTCATCTGTAAAGATTCCCCACTACCCTTTAACCCTCATCATCCTGGAAATCAGATCAAAACTTGAATTTCCTGTTTGCTATTTCCATTGCCTCAAATGTGGTACACATGCACACACACACTTATACATTCAAAATTTCAAGCCCTGACCTAGTGATACCAGTTAATCAAACTGAGCTAGTTTCTTCCTCTCATCTTTTATAAAATGGCCCATCAAGAAACCTGAATCAATCCAACTGATTCTTGCCCAGAAATCTGACAAATGGTCTAATGTTGAAACTACTAACTAAAAAGGATACAAGTCTTGCAGGTACCCTCACAGATACACAGTGTTCACAAGGCTTTGTCCACCTCTTTCTATCTCTAAATAACTGAAAGAATGTGCAAGTTGAGAAAAGGTCATTCTAGCAGCAAATGACAAAGAATCAACCACATAGGCTTTGTGGGATCAGCTCGTTCCTGAAGAGTACAAAGACTTCCACTAAGAATTATGAGGAACATCAAAAAATGTTCTTTGTAGGACTTGGAACTCATAATTGAAACACAGCATTGGATCTAATCAATCTTTGTTTTAACAAAATTCCCTTTCATCCCTATAGTCAATATGTGTTCAGTGGACAAGTTGATGTCCCTTGACTGAGTGATCAGTTTCTGGATAAGGGCTTGACCCAATAAAAGTGTAACATTCCTTAAAGTTACTTGAATCTTTTAATTATTAGGAATTTCTGACACACTTGACAATTTTTCCAGAAAGATATTAACAGAGGAAATCTCCCTCATCATGGTAATACTGTAGCCCCTTCAAATTAACCTTAAAACCCTATTTAATGTTAAATTGTGTGCTCTATTCCAGAGTCACACCTAGTCATATCTAGTCTTCATCAAGTTCTACTATAATCAAAGGATTTACGTGTAATGAAGCCAACTAAAGACAGTTTCCACATTAAATCTCCCCCCTTTTACAGGCTGAGGGATGTCAGCACTATATGTAGATTATTACACATAGTCCAGTAAGTTTCACACAAAGTGATCCATGTGACCTGTAGCTTTCCTTTGTCTGGTTACTTCACTTCCATTCATGCTGCTGAGCTGGGAAAAGTCTGAGTAGCTGCAGAATGTTTCTGAAGTGATACCTCCTAGTGGGTCACTAAGGCCAAGCCCATTTTGCACCATCCACCACAGAGAAAACACAAACTCCTAAACTTTCAAGAGACTTCATGCACAGCTTTGTAAAGGGGGAATTCTGATCCAGAAATTGAGTCATGTTCTTCAAAAGATAAAGAACTGTGCATCAAAACTGTCAAAAAGCTTTTCATTTGATAATATTTGTATGCTTTGAAGGATATCAAAAGCACTGTTAACATTTGGATGGGGCCATAGAGACAATTTTCTAGACCAGTCTTCCCATTGTACCAATGAACAGTTTGAGCTCTATTGTATAAGTGACATGGATGGGGTCAGAGAACTGGTTACTGGCCGAGCCAGGTCTAGGTTCCAGGTCTTGGAATCTCATGCCTTCTGCACTCTTCTCTGAGCCCAAGGCTTTTCACATTTAACTGAGGAAAGTCCAGTGTGTCTGTCATAGACTAGGGTCTCTGAGAATGGTCACTTACCTGGTTGTACCTGTTCTAAGTGCTCTACTTACATTAACTCATTTAATCCTCACAGCAATCCCTTGAGGAAGGAACCTTTGTTATTACTGTATTTACAGACAGGCGAGCTAAAGCATAGGATAGTAAATAACATTCACTTCCTCCACCTTCTCAGGACTAATGCATCATGAGATTTGAACTTGGGCAGTCTGCTCCAGTGTCTGCGCTGTAGTCTGAACTGCTGTGCAATCAAATACTGCCAGCAAAGCAGGTGAAGGGATGGGGCAAGTAAAAGACAGAAGGTGGAAGGAGAGCAGGAAAAATAGGAAGAAAGGGGATATTTTTTAAAAAATGATAGAGATAGCAAGGAAAGAGGGAAAATAAAAGCAAAAGTAAAGAAATCTTTCCTTGCATCTATTTTTTGGATTCTGGTTTCACATCATAAATTTCCAACAACCTACTGCGTATCTTGCCTTACATTAAATCTGTTTTCATATTCCCAACTCCTTTTCGCCCCAAAATAAGGAAAGAAAAAAAAAGGATGGTGAAACCTATTTTAAATGACTTGCTCCATTTGATCTGTGTATACAGAGCCTCATTGTGGACCTGATGATGACCTATTAACTGGGCAATTAATTATTTCTTCACAGGTGAAAACAGATTTTGTATTTTATTTATTTAGTTTTTGTATTAAGGTATCATTGATATACAATCTTATGAAGGCTTTTACAACATTCACCCATATTATGAAGTCCCCTCCCATACCCCATTGTTGTCACTTTCCATCGGCGTAATAAGATGCTGTAGAGTCACTACTTGTCTTCTTTGTGCTACAATGCCTTCCCTGTGCCCCACCTATGTTATGTATGCTAATCATAATGCCCCTTAAGCCTCTTCTCCCTCCCTCCCCACCCACCTTCCTCAACCCCTCCCCTTTGGTAACCACTAGTCCCTTCTTGAGTTCTGTGAGTCTGCTGCTGTTTTGTTCCCTCAGTTTTGCTTTGTTGTTATACTCCACAAATGAGTGAAATCATTTGATACTTGTGTTTGTCCACCTAGCTTATTTCACTGAACATAATACCCTCCAACTCCATCCATGTTGTTGCAAATGTTAGGGTTTGTTTTCTTCTTATGGCTGAATAGTATTCCATTGTGTATATGTACCACATCTTCTTTATCCATTCATTTACTGATAGACACTTAGGTTGCTTCCATGTCTTGGCTGTTGTAAATAGTGCTGTGAGAAACAGGGGTTCATAAGTCTTTTAGAATCAGGGATCTTGTTTTCCTTGGGTAAATTCCCAGGAGTGGAATTCCTGGGTCAAATGGTATTTCTATTTTTAGTTTTTTGAGGAAACTCCATACTGCTTTACACAATGGTTGAACTAATTAAATTAACATTCCAACCAGGAGTGTAGGAGGGTTCCCTTTTCTCCGCATCCTCATCAGCATTTGTTGTTGTTTGTCTTTTGGATGGTGGCCATCCTAACTGGTGTGAAGTGATATCTCATTGTGCTTTTAATTTGCATTTCCCTGATGATTAGCAATGTGGAGCATCTTTTCATGTCCCTGTTAGCCATCTGAATTTCTTTGAAGAAATGTCTGTTCAGACCCTCAGCCCATTTTTTTAATCAGGTTATTTGCTTTTTTGGTTGTTGAGGTGTGTGAACTCTTTATATATGTTAGATGTTAACCCCTTATTGAATATATCACTTATGAATATATTCTCCCATACCATAGGGTGCTGCTTTGTCCTGCTGATGGTGTCCTTTGCTGTACAGAAGCTTTTTAGCTTGATGTAGTCCCATTTATTCATTTCTGTTTTTGTTTCCCTTGCCTGAGGAGATGTGTTCAGGAAAAATTTGCTCATGTTTATATTCAAGAGATTTTTGCCTATGTTTTATCCTAAAAGTTTTATGATTTCATGACTTACATTCAAGTCTTTGTTCCATTTTGAGTTTACTTATGTGCATGGAGTTAGACAATAATCCAGTTTCATTCTCTTACATGTAGCTGTCCAGTTTTGACAACACCAGTTGTTGAAGAGGCTGTCATTTCCCCATTGTATATCCATGGCTCCCTTATCATATGTTAATTTATATCTGGGCTCTCTATTCTGTTCCATTGATCTATGGGTCTGTTCTTGGGCTAGTACCAAATTGTCTTGATTACTATGGCTTTGTAGTAGAGCTTGAAGTTGGTGAGTGTAATCCCCCCTGCTTTATTCTTCCTTCTCAGGATTGCTTAGGCTATTCAAGGTCTTTTGTGGTTCCATATGAATTTTGGAACTATTTGCTCTAGCTCGCTGAAGAATGATGTTGAATTTTGAATGGGATTGCATTGAATCTGTAGATTGCTTTAGGGAGGATGGCCATGTTGACAATATTAATTCTTCCTATCCATGAGCACAGGATGTGTTTCCATTTATTGGTACTTTCTTTAATTTCTCTCATGAGTGTCTTGTAGTTTTCAGGGTATTGGTCTTTCAGTTTTCCTTGGTTAGGTTTATTCCTAGGTATTTTATTCTTTTTGATGCAGTTGTGAATGGGATTGTTTTCCTGATTTCTCTTTCTGCTAGTTCATCATTAGTGTATAGGAATGCCACAGATTTCTGTGTATTAATTTTGTGTCATGCAACTTTGCTGAATTCAGATATTAGTTCTAGTAGTTTTGGAGTAGATTCTTTAGGATTTTTTATGTACAATATCATGTCATCTACAAATAGGGACAGTTCCATGTCTTCCTTGCCAATCTGGATGCCTTTTATTTCTTTGTGTTG